GCTCTGTTTGCCTGCCGGTCAGGCCACGTGCAGTTTTGGGGCTGGATGGGCACGGCCCAGCTGTTGTTGAGGATTGTCAGCTCTGTCACGCGGTAGTTGGAAGAGATGTCCCCTTCCGGTGTTGTCAGTCCTTCTCGGGAAGCATCCTCTTCCTCGTGACCAGGGCCTAGCACAGCACTGGTAGCAGCCCACGCGTCTTAGGCTCTACCTTTCCCGGGCACTGTGTGAAGAGAGCTTTACATCTTCTTGTGAGGGTTCCAACGGCGCTCTCAGCAGACGTTGCTAACAGAACTCAGATCCAGCGAGTTACCTGAAGTCACGCTGAGTTACTAGTAAGGAGGAGCCAGGAGACTGCAGTGCCCATTCAGAAGGAAAACTGCAGTTCCGTAAAGATTCTGAAAGGAGAAATGCTGGAGGCAGCAGTGGGAGCCTGTCCTGTGTCTCCCCAGAGACACTTCACAAATGCCTGTAACCCGTGGGTTTCCCCCTCCCCTGTCCCCGCCCCCCCCCCCCCCCCCGCAGGCGGTGCTGTTGGGAACAGTGCTGTTTCTGATCAGTGTGTGTGAGTGGGTCTTACTAACAGGTGACAGCATTCCATTGTGTCCTCGGTTCATGGACATTGGTTTTTATTTTTTTGGTGTTACGGTGCTGCACTCAGTAACCTAGCACATACTGTCACTGTGCACGTAGTTTAACAGTTGCACAGAAGTTCTCGTGCTCGGCCTTGTTGACACTTGGGGAAGGACGTCTCTGCGTCATGATAGCTATCCTGTACATTATGGACGTTGAACATCGTCTGTGCACCCGTGCCAGTGACGCCCCCAGCCCGAATTGTCACAACCAGATACCTCTGCAGACACTGCCACCCTGTTCCCCCGGCAGCCAGCACCTGCCCCCGATCGAGGGTACATTTCAGCATGCAGGCTTGCTGGAGCTAAGCTTAGGTACGTTGTTTTTCATACAGGCAGCGCTGTTGGAGGGTTTTCTCGTTCTCCACTGCAGTAGTTTACCAGAACTTTTTGGCTGTCTCACTGTAATTGTAATTCTGAGTCCTCCTTTATCCTGGGCGCTTACTGCTTTGGGGCTCGAGGGCTCGCGTCATCCTTAAAGTTTGGTACCTAGAATTGATGGCAGTCCTCTGGGTTTCCTGTGATCTAATGAAATGGCAGACGGCAGCACTTCCTGGGGCCCGGGGTGTGAGGCTGTGCTGGGTGTGCTTTCCGTAGGCATGTGTCCTGTGAGGTCATGCCGCACGTCTTACCTTTGGGTCGGCGTGTGTCACCTCTAGCCAGGTTCTGACAGTGTGTCCCCTGAAGGGATGTGTGGCAGACGGCCAGCTGAGAGCAGCTGCCTTGCCATTGGCTCCAATTGGCCCTGCTGCTCCATCTGCGTTGACTTCCCTCTGTCGTTTTTTCTCCCATTTTTCTTTGGTTTGTTCCCTGCTATAACTGACACCCAGCAGTGTCCAGCACGTACTCTCTGCCTGTGGTTGTCTGCCCTCGAGTGGGCTGGGGAGCTGCGTTCACCCAGCAGGGGCTCCGTTGCTGCCTAGGGTGAAGGCTTCCTCAAAGGCTCAGAACTGGCTGCTGCTTCTGTTTTTCTCAGAACGTCCGGGCTCTTGGGGAGCTTTGGTCTGGCATCAGGCTGGGCAGGGCTGGGCAAGGTCGAAGGACAAGGCTGCCCCACCTTGCGCTCTGCTGAGCCAGCAGTTACCTGGAAATGGTGCCTTGATGGGCCTCAGCACCTCTCTGCTGCCATGGGCCATTAGGATGTCTCGGCGTCATTCCTGGACCACGTGGAGTTAGCAGCTTAGAAAACGGCCTGCCAGCTATTGATTGAGTTGGAGATTGGTGGATTTGGTGTGGCAGGGCCAGGTGTGCACACACACACACACACACCACACACCCCGTAGATGTGGAAGTCTGTGAAGGGGGCCTTACGGCACCAGTTGCCCCAAGCCTTAATGATTTCTCACCAATCCCAGCAAGATGGTGGAGAACTAACTTTCTTCTTCTTCTTCTTCTTTTTTTTTTTTTTTTAAGATTTTTTATTTATTTATTTGACAGAGTTACAGTGAGAGAGACAGACAAGAGAGAAAGGTCTTCCTTGTGTTGGTTCACCTCCCAAATGGCCACTGTGGCCGGAACTATGCCGATCCGAAGCCAGGAGCCAGGTGCTTCCTCCTGGTCTCCCACGCGGGTGCAGGGCCCAAGCACTTGGGCCATCCTCCACTGCCGTCCCGGGTCATAGCAGAGAGCTGGACTGGAAGAGGAGCATCCGGGACTAGAACCCGGCGCCCATATGGGGCGCTAGCACCGCAGGCAGAGGATTAACCAAGTGAGCCCCGGCGCCAGCCCCAGAGAACTTTCTTGTCCACAGTTCGCTTGCTGTTTCCTCTACTTCTAAGAATCACGGGCAGGTTGTTGAGTGCTGGCGGGATGCCTTGTTTGGCTACTTCACTTGCTCCCCGTTCCAGAGGCTGCACTCAGTGACAAGAGCTGGGGTGGGGGCAGCAAGCAGAGCAGTCACTTCCTCGGTAGAGGGCCAGAGAGTAAACATTCAGCCTTCAGGCTTTGCTTCGCCGGCCGTGGTGTGTCGGTTTGTCGCACCTCCTTCCCATGCCTTTAAAGACCCGAAAGCTGCTCCTAGCTCGTGAGCCTTGTGAAAAAGGCTGTAGCCAGATTTAGCTCCTGGCCATGCTTTGCCAACCGCTGGGCTAGGTAAAGAAATGAGTTTCTTGCTACATGTGTTTAGTTAATGTTTTGGGGACATGACCCCAGAATCACCTTGGGAATTCTCAGTTGACTGTGATCCAAAGAAAAGCAGTCTAAGCCGGAGTTGGGGTGGGGGAGGCACGGGGGCCTAGTGTCAGTCACTGGGCACGTGGGACTCGTGGTGACCTTGAGCAGTGGGACAGAGGGCTCCTGCTGCCTCTCTCCCTCGGGAAGCTGGGGGTCGGGGAGGGGAGAGTAGGTTGGTGTGGCCCTTGGCTTTGGCTGGGACTGGACAGGCGGAAGGAGTGCAGGAGCGTGGCTTCCCGCCTGGCGGAAGCAGTCAGCCGGGTGGACAGTGTGTAACAGCGGAGCGCGGCTCTGTCCCCTGGATTCCGAGAACACCAGGGTCTGATGCAAGAATCAGGTCTGCCGTGTGGTTTTCCTCCAGTCACGGGAAGGGAAGCGCGGTGGAGCGGGCAGGGCACGGGGGAAGTGTCCTTTATTTCAGGGTGGTTTGGGCTGCGGGACAGCATAGGTGTGAACGAGCCGGGGCTCATCCTGGTTCCTGCCACACCACTTGTGGCTGCGTGGCCCCGGGGGTGTCTTACGCTTCTGAGCCTCAGTCTGTCAGTGGCAGTGATGACAGGCCCTCCCCCGGACAGTTGTGAGAAGTAAGTGGATGGGATGTTACACCGCCTGTTAGCGCCTGTCGTGCAGGCAGGCGGTAACTTAGCAATGGTCGCGTGAGAGTGGAAGAAGTACAGGAACAGAAATAGGAACTAACGTGTGTGACTCAGGGCCACCGAAATGTCATGTCCTTGGTGAGCACTGGATTACTGGCTGCGGGATGTGGAGCGGGGGGCGCGGGGGAGAGGGCTGGGTCTGTGTCCGCCTCTCGCTCAGCCTCCTGATGTGTCGGATAACCAGATGAGGTGCTGTGCCAAAGGCTTTGAGTTCTGCACGGCGCTGGGTAGACTGTGCGTGAGGTCAGTACCCGTTGATCCGTTCAGTGTCTTGACCTCAATAACAGCTGCTTGCAGTGATGGATGTGCAGCCAGAGACTGGACAGTGACTCCACGTTCAGCGCTTGTGTCGGTCACTTGTGATCTGGAGTTAGTGACATAACACTGAGGTACTTGTGTGAGATATTTGAAATAGTGGGATTTAAAAATCCAGCAGCCGGTGCAGTCAGGTAGGCTGGAGGGATTTAATCTCCAGATAGAAGGTGCGACTGTGTCTTGGAAAAGTCAAAACGTGTATTTCCTTTCCCTTGTAATTCCGTTTCCAGGAACTTGCCCTGGACGTGTGTTTCCTGTGTGCACTTTGTGTGCCGAATCCCGTGTGCGCCAGTTCCTCATGCCACGCTGTGTGTAACAGCGAAGTGTGCAGCCTCAGACACTGACTCACAAAGTTAGTTACAGTGGTCCGCCTGCAACCACAGCTTTCAGAAGTGAGGGTGGTGTGTGCCGACGCCCCTCACCCCACCCCCAAAGACAGACACTCAGCCGTAGCACACTAGAAACGAGGTGAAGAACAGGGTGTTGCCAGGCGGGTGGGAGGGCACGCGTGGGTTCCTGTGTGTGTGAGCGTGTGCACCGCCTGGGGAGGGCCACCGGCCTGGCAGTGTGGCTGTGGCTATGGAGAGCTCGTGGGAGGGAGATTTGCTGTTCGGAGTATACATTTTTTATCTTTTTTCTTTCTTTCTTTTTTTTTTTTTTTTTTGACAGGGAGAGTTAGAGAAAGACAGAGAGAAAGGTCTTCCTTTCGTTGGTTCACTCCCCAAATGGCCATTATGGCCGGTGCGCTGCACCGATCCGAAGCCAGGAGTTAGGTGCTTCCTCCTGGTCTCTCATGTGGGTGCCGGGCCCAACCACTTGGGCCATCCTCCACTGCCTTCCCGGGCCACAACAGAGAGCAGGACTGGGAGAGGAGCAACCGGGACAGAATCTGGCACCACGACCGGGACTAGAACCCGGGGTGCCGGCACCACAGGCAGAGGATTAGCGTAGTGAGCTGTGGCGCCGGCGTTTTTTATCTTTTGAAATGCATCTTTCACACACATTGTTTCTATTTTATAGTGTGGGTGATCGCATATCCTATCATTAGAGCTGAAAACCACACTGTGTGTGTGTGTGTGTGTGTGTGCAGTCTGTGCCGGCTTGGTCCCCTGACCTTGGTGACTGGACACGCCGGCCCCAAGGCAGGCTCCCCGCACCTGCCCCCCAGTGTCCTGACGGTTCTCCCTCTGGCCGGCGTGACTGACGCTGTCTCTTTTTCCACCCCCAGCTTTGGCAGCATGTAAGCACCTTTTTGCCAAGAGCCCAGGTCACCGCTGTGCAGGGGGCCTTAGGGAGAAGACTTTCGAGAGGGAGCCAATGCCAGACGCGTCCGGCGTCCTGCTCGCCGCGGGCAGCATGCGCCACTGTGTGCCAGCCTCTGCGTCCTGCTGGCTCAGACTGTAGCTCTCCAGGTAGGAGGGTCCTGGGAGCCGCAGCGCCAGGAGCTGCTCCCAAGGGGAGCGCGGCCAGATGTGAACGCTCCGCGGTGGACACGATTCGCAGCCTGTGGAGGAACTGTGAAGTAAAACGATTATTTAATTTCCAGATACTCCAGTTCAGAAGCCTTCTGTGTGAAGCGCCAGCAGTCACCCCACCTCCTCAGAAGTGATCAGGATCTTTCTTCCTGGTACTTCTGGCACCGACAGACCTGCAGGACAGATTTAGCTGCTAGATGCTCTCGGACAGGAAAAACACACCTCTGGAAGCAGCAGTGGGCTAGCGGCACAGGGCCTCTCGCTCGCACGGACGCTCAGCCTGGCCTCGCATGCGTCTCCCTGCCTCGGTCACCTCCTCGGCCCGTCTGCTCGGGGGAGACCCGGCGCTCCCAGGCTGCCTCCTGCGGCCCTTCCCTGCTGTCGCTCCCCGCCCCCGCCGTCTGCCCAGGCCGGCGAGCCATGTGAGCTGTGGAATGGAGTGTGCCCCCCGCCAGGGACGTGCTCGCTGTCGCCGGCCGGCGCTGTCGGGAAGGACCCTCTGAAACCTGTGCTGTGTGCGTGGGGGGGCGCCAGCCTTGCGGGGCCTCCACCATGTTCCTGCTGCTGCCTTTTGATAGCCTGATCGTCAGCCTGCTGGGCCTCTCCCTGACCGTCCTCTTCACCCTGCTGCTCGTGTTCATCATCGTCCCGGCCGTTTTTGGAGTCTCCTTTGGCATCCGGAAGCTCTACATGAAAACGCTGTTGAAAATCTTCGCGGTGAGTAGGCTGCTTCCCAGGCGAGGGCACGTTTTCTTAGCTGGCTGGCTGTGAGCGCTGTGGGCTTTGGAGAAAGGTGGGGGAACGGGCAGCGGTGTTTTGAGGAGAAAGAGTTAACGAGACGTGTGTCTCTCAAGCCTTCGCCGGTCTTTTTCTGGAGCTGAGCTCCCAGTGTGTGGGGTTCATGCCGAGCTAACCACGCCTGCCTGCTGACCGCAAAGACAGTGGGGCTTAGGGTTACGGACGGAACCTCGTGAGACTCTGCCCCTCTTAGGTGGCGTGGCGGCGCATCTGCTGCCCCCGTCCCCTCCCTGACTGGTGCCGGAGGGCCTTTTCTCTCCCAAGCATTCGTCTGAAGGAGGTTCTTGCATTTCAGACCAGAAGAATGAACAGGGGGCCCTGTAGGTGGTTTGGTTTTCTTAAAAATGAAGGGAAAGGAGAGTGAGTTTCTCGACGTGTGTCAGGACTTCCCGGAGTGCACCCTGGAGCAGGACTGGTCACGTTGCAAGGCAGGCAGTTTCCTGGAAGGGGTCTGTGCAGCTGTCCAGAGAGTGGATGGCACGGTTCCAACGTCTGTTTTCAGAAGCTACCCACCAAGACCTGGTAGACTGTGAGAAACACACTTGCGACAGTAAAAATAGCACAGCGTGTTTGTTCATGTGCTGTCTTACAGCTTGCGGACTAATTTTTTTCATTTTCCTCTGCTTCCTTATAGCTCTAGTAGGCAGAATAAATACCTGCATTTCAGTGAACAAGGAGGCTCTGATTAAGGGAGCCGTAGGCACTGTTACTTTCAGTGGGAAGTGTGTCTGTGAGCATCACTGAATCGTGGGTTCTATCTTTTTGGCATTTAATATCCTTACAAGAACATGATTTCTTTTTTAAAAAACAATTAATTTATTTTTTTTTGAAAGGCAGAATTACACAGAGAAGAAGAAGCAGAGAGAGAGAGAGGTCTTCCATCTGCTGGTTCACTCGTCAATTGGCCGCAACAGTGGAGCTGCGCCAATACGGAGCCAGGAGCTTCTTCCGGGTCTCCCATATGGGTGCAGGGGCCCAAGGACTTGGGCTATCATCTTCTGTTTTCCCACGCCATAGCAGAGAGCTGGATCAGAGGTAGAGCAGGGGCCGGGCTCTGTGGTGTAGTGGGTAAAGCTGCCGGCTGCCCCACTTCTTATCCAGCTGTCTGCTATGGCCTGGGAAAGCAGTAGAAGGTGGCCCAAGTCCTTGGGTCCCTGCACCCACATGGGAGACCTGGAAGAAGCTCCTGGCTCCTGACTTTGAATCGCTCAGCTCCAGCCGTTGAGGACAATTGGAGAGTGAACCAGTGGCTGGAAGTTCTCTCTTTCTCTCTCTCTCTGCCTCTCCTCTCTCTGTTTAACTCTCACTTTCAAATAAATAAACAAATAAGAGGAAGTAGAGCAGCTGGGACTTGAACGGGCACTCACATGGGATGTCAGCACTCCAGGCGGCAGCTTTAGCAGCTGCACCACAGCACGGGCCCCAAGAATATGATTTCTGTTACACTGTGAAACCTTGAGGTGAAAGTAAGCAGCTCCACTGTTCTCCACTGTTCACAGTGTAGAACCACTGCCACCTCTGAATATTTGAGTACTTTTTTCAGGATTATCAGTATCATGTATTTATTATTATTTATTTGAAAGACAGAGCTTCCATCTGGTGATTGACTCCCCAAATGCCCGAAATGGTCCTGGTCAGGCCAAAGCCAGGAACTCGGAATTGAATCTAAGCCTCTGGTGTTGCCGGCAGGGGTCCGGTGCCTAAGCTGCCTCCCAGGTTGTGTCTTGGCAGGAAGCTGGACTCTCAGGCTGAGCCAGCACGCAAACCAGATCCTCTGATACGGCTGCGGGTATTCCGACCTGTGCTCATCCCTGTGCTTCGAGTGGGCTGCAGATGGGCAGCACGAGTGTCTCCTGGGAGCTGGTTGGGGGTGGGGATTTCAGCTCTGCCGTTCAACAAGATACAGATGATTCACAAGCCCGTGGGACCTGAGAAGTGGCCTCGCGTTGTGGCACAGAAGGGTAAGCCCCATCCCATATTGGGGCGCCAGTTTGAGTCGCAGCTGCTCTACTTCTGACCCAGCTCCCTGCTAACGCACCTGGGAAAGCAGCAGAACATGGCCCCGATACCTGGGTCTCCGCCTCCCACAGGGGAGAACTGGATAGGGGTTCTGGCTTTGGTCTGGCCCACTCCTGGTTGTTTTAGCCTTTTGGAGGGTGAACCAGTGGATGGAGGATCTCTGTGTCTTCGCATCTCTATCACTCTTTCAAATAAATAAATTTGAAAAAAATTTGAGAAGTAGTGATCCGGTATTTTGGATTGTCTATTTTGCTAATGTGGAATGTTTGTTTATTTTCAGTTTGAGAGATTTACATACCAAATGCCCACAGTGGCCAGAACCAGGCCAAACTCAAACCAGAAGCCCAGAACCCAATCCAAGCTTCCCACAGGTTGGCTGGAGCCCAATGGCTTGAGTCACCTCCACTGCCTCCCAGGTCTGCATTGTCAGGAAGCTGGAAATGCGAGCCAGAGCTGGAACTCGAACCCAGCAGTCTGACATGGGATGCCTGCACGTACTGTGCTTTTTGAATTCAGTTCTCTGAAAGTCTTTAGTGGAACCCGGGATCACTGCCTAGGCCCTGTGCCGCCGGAGAGACATGCAGTAGGTGGAGGGCGAGCAGGCCTTTCAGACGTGACAGTGGTACCTGCCTTTGCGGTCACTGTGTGAGCAAGTACTGCTCTCATGGGCTGTGGCAGTTGACATTGTTAAGAATGATGAGCCCAGGGCTCCTGCTGTCGTTAAAGCTTCACTTGGCTGACTTCGGGCAGGACAGAGGCCCGGGATCCATGTGTACTCCTTACTCCACCTTGAAATGGTCCCCCACATGTAACATTTTAGAGTTTATAGCCAAGTACATCCTTCTGGTCAGACTGTGTTTTTAAGATGTCCGTTCTGTGACTGTCAGTGTGGATGACAGTTACACAGCAGGAGATTGGTTCAGTGTGTAGTATGGGCCCGTCTGTGGGATGTGTCAGCCTGAGCCATCAGAGACTGTTTGAAGCCACGTCTTGAAAAGCACTGATTTGGGGCCGGCGCCGCGGCTCGATAGGCTAATCCTCTGCTTGCAGCGCTGGCACACCAGGTTCTAGTCCCGGTCGGGGGGCCGGATTCTGTCCCAGTTGCCCCTCTTCCAGGCCAGCTCTCTGCTGTGGCCTGGGAGTGCAGTGGAGGATGGCCCAAGTGCTTGGGCCCTGCACCCCATGGGAGACCAGGAGAAGCACCTGGCTCCTGCCATCGGATCAGTGCGGTGCTGAAAAAAAAAAAAAAAAAGAAAAGAAAAGAAAAGCACTGATTTGGGCCACCAGGATTTAGAAGTAGGGATGGGCATAGCATGAATACATTGGGGACCTTGAGATTTAGAATTCCAGAACTGAGGTTCGTGCATCTTACTTCCCAGAGGAGTGTCCAGGTACTCAGAGGTTCCTGGCTATGACAGCTGGGCCCTGTGCTGCAGAGGGGAGAGGGCCACCCCTGTCAGCAGGGGCACAATGTCCCCAGAGGAGGATCAGGCCTTCATCCTCTGCTCTGCCCGGCTCGCAGTGGCCAGAGAGACCTGAATGCTGTGTGATCGAGGTGGTGGTATGTGTAAGCTGGATTTGGCCAGGCTGGTGTCTGGCCTTGGAAAGTACCCATCTGTGTCTCCGTGTGTGCATCTCAGCCACACCTGTGCCTGTGGCTGTGTGCGCTGGTTTTCAGTGGGGGAGGGTCTCAGTCAGTTTGGGCTGCTATAACAGCTGTAGACTTGGGGGGGGGGGGGTGCTGTGAGACACATTCGCCAGTTTGGAGGCCTGGAAGCCCACCGTTAGGGCACAGTGGGCTGGGAACCTGTGTGACTCATAGCCGTCTCTTCTTGCTGTGGGAGGGGTGAGGGGTGAAGGAGCTTGTCGGGGCTCTGATCCGCACGTGAGCATGCTGCCTTCACACCATATCACCTCCCCGAGACCTCACCTCGGAACACCACGACGCTCTGCATCCCACCTCGGGGAGACGCAGACACGCAGTCTGCAGCGGAGAGACTTTCTGTCTTTGCGTCTTCACTCCTTTCTACACTGGGGAAGTATTCATAATTTTAGAGCTGGAAGAAAGCTCAAAGATCAATCTTAAACCCCCTGGTTCACTTCCCCTGATTCAGCAGTAGCCAGGGCTGGGCCAGGCCAAGGCCAGGAGCCTAGACGCCATCAGGATCTCTTCCCACGTGGGTGGCAGGGGCCCAAGCGCTTGGGCTTCCCAGGAAGCTGGATCAGAAGCAGGGCTGCTGGTGTGGGATGCCCGTGTCTAACCCGCTGTGCCACAATGCTGGCCCTTGGAGATCATCTTAATGTCATGACTCTCCCCTTTGACTGTATATTGTACAAATACACACTTACGGGGCTGGGCATTTGGCCTCGTGGTTAAGATGCTGCTTGTGGCTCTGCACCTCATGCCGGAGTGCCTGGGTTCCATTCCAGGCTCCATCTCTTAACTAGCTTCCCGCTGAAGCATGCTGGGGCGGGGGTGGGGGGCAATGCTGATGGCTCAACCGATTGGGTTCCTGTCAACCCCACGGGAGACCTGGATTGACTTCCCGCCCCATGGCCGTGGTAGGTGTTTGGGGAGAGAGCCAGTGGACACGTGATCTCTCTCTCTCTCACTTGCAATCCAAGGATTGCGGCCCCTGGCATCAAGCCGCCCAAAGCCGGGCAGTCTGAGGTCCGGAGTGGAGTCGCCGGTGGTTAGGGGTGATAGCAGCATAACAGCAGTAGGTAAACAGCTGACCTAGCGCTGGAGGGAAGGTTCCCCATGTCCCACAGCACGTCTGGCGGACACGCTCGGGGCTGTGGTGGTTTGAGTGTGTTCTGCCTCTGGCCGTTTTCACATGGTACCAGATGACCTTCGGAGAGCCCGTTACAGCCGGCCAGCTCCCGCTTGCCGGCAGTGT